ATTTACTACAACAAAATCACTTGCATATTCCGGCAGACATATGCTTATATTTATAAGGTTACCAGACACAAGCACTTAGGTAACGAAAAAAAGTTGGAAAAAAATTTACACACCTTGTCCTTTGTTCTAAATCCTCATTATCAATAACAAATTTCTCTAATTTTTTAAAGTATTAACCCAGCTACCATGTATGAATACGGATATTTAACTGCGAAGTATTTTATAATACTGCCTTACAATTGTTATCAATCGTCGTGAGAATTATCTTCATGATATAAAATTTTCCGTTCATTCAGACTTTTATTAAGGCCGAATATAATAATGATAATAATGTATATATACTATACAAGTTTCCATCAGTTATTTTTTTTTCAGAAACCGATACAATTCTTGAAAATTTTCCTTTTTTTCTACAATTTTTTGTTTGCGCCTTTATTACTGGGAAAAAACATGCCTGATGTTTGTATTTTCCACATTTTTTTTGGATAAGGGCATATGTTTCTCATTAAAAAAAATACTTTTATACAGATATTTTTTTATTCATCCTCTTATTCCCTTTTCTTTTTGGTTCTGTATTTTGCTACAATGTTTCTTCTGTGGAATAAATATATAATTTTTCTTTCGCTAACCGTAAATAAAATTTCATGTAATACTTCAAGTATGAAGACGCTGTCAGATATACAAAGAATGAAGATCCTTCTCATTGTTACGAAAGATTGGGGAAAGTCACAAAATTTTTTAATATTCCGTTTTTACCGGTTGCTTTCAGCTTTCCAAACCTTTTCCAGTTGCACATTTGATTTTCTGGTCATACGTTTGTGATTATTTATACTATGCAGGAAAAGCTGCAAAAATTTGTAAAATACTGGTTGCTGTTTTTACGGATAGAAAAAGTGTATTTGTAAAAATGAAAGAGTGATCTTAGAATCTTCTCTTCTTATTTTGGCGGGAAGAACTGACAAGAAAAGGTCAAAATTTTTTTTACTTTTGGAACGTCAAATTTAAAGAAATTAACTTTTTTCTACGACGTTTGACACCAGAGAATAGCAAAACGTGAGAATACTAGAGCTAAATCAATGTTTTGGGATTGGTTGTGTATGCGTGACAGTTTGTTCACTGAACCTTGATGACGGTAAAATGGTGCAGGCCTCTGAATCATTCTCTGTTTGTTGCTCAACGGTACCAGTCAAAGTTGCGTATAAAAGTCATTTAAACGAATGTGTGCAGATGAATATCACTTAATATGTGGTTTTATAAAGCGGTCCATCAGAGCTATATTGCGTAAAAAATTAAACCAAACGATATGAACGAAGAATGAGCTTAGAAACTAAGAGATATGAATGTGAAGTACTCAATACTTTATTGGTTTCACCAAATATTTGCAAATAATGTGTGTTCAAAAAGAATATCATGGGTATTACCGTTAAAGTAACGCTGATCTAGACATTCAAAGGATAGGAAAAAAGAGTGAAAGTATTGATGTTTTCACCTTTTTCTTCATCAACGTCACATATTACCACAACCTCTATCCGAATCGGTTTATTTGAAACAGACTGATTTATCAGTAGCCTTTGCGTTCCGAATCCACTATCACCGCAGATAACAGCAACAAAATACTCCTTCGTTTTCAGCTTATACTCTTCCCCAGCTAGACGATCTGATGCTCATTGTAAACTACTGGAAAACCTTGACCGACAAAAGTTCAGTGCCGTTTTTGAGCAAAAATAATAAAAATCTCATACGTACTTGAACCTACTAATTAACAACAGCAAAACAAAAGTTGCATATTAAAACTGAAAAAAAACTTTTTTTCTTAAGATTTATTGGTGCATATAGTAGAAGAAGAATTTGTTGTTTTCTTGTCCCTGTTTTCTTCAACTCACCTTTATTAAGCAGAACATAACTTTCTTAATCCACCAGTCATTTTTGGCAGTAATGGTAAGATGAACCAAAAAATTTAACGAAAACAGTGGAAGGCGGCATTTTTTCTCTTCTATTATTTTTTGTACAATCCTTACCAGTGTAGGAATTTCTTACTGTTCAAAAAATACTGCTGGGTGAATGCAGACAATAAATATTTAAATTTCTTTCGTTTTGTTAATGCTACTTTTCTGCTGGAGAACATTCAAGCGAGAGAGCATGAGAAACAGACAGTAAGAGAAATTTCAAAATGGCAGAAAAAGGGTACAAACTTCGAGCAGGAGATGACTTTTACGTGGAACGAATTCAATTCTGCAACACAGGTGCGGTTAAAGTTCGTACCTTTTTCTGCCATATTCAAATTTCTCTGACTGTCTGTTTCTCCTACTCTCTCACCTCAGTCTTTTCCAAAGCGAAAGTTGCAATAACAGCATCAGTAAAGTAGTCTCAAAAATTATCTATATCTATTCGGTAGTGCCTCTAAAATATTGGAAACACCTCAGCACAGAAAGTTGTCGTACAAATAAGGAAGGAAAGAAAAATACTGTGATTTTCTATTTTATTCATTTCTGGCAGGCCTCTACTGTATAATTGAAGTTTTCGAAAATCGTTTATGAACAGGAATTACTGTTTTTTTCTGTTGCAGGAAACAGCAGGTAGAATAAAAAGCACGTTGCAAAAGTTAAATGCTACGGTTGAGACACCGCGGATTCTCCTTATTTTTGATTCTAACTGTCGATGGCTTCATCGATACTGGCAAGGATACGGTAAGGTTGTAAAAGTGTAATATTAGTTGTACAAAATAGAACATGAATTCAATGAGTAACAGTGCAGTTAAACAAAGAAATGCCGATGCCCAAAACTTGTAACAATGGTGGACTATCTGTTTGTTCATTTTTGGAAAACAAAGAACTAGTTCTTTTTGGGAGACCAAAACTCTAAAAGGCTGAAAAAACAAAGAGATCAAAACTTTTGGAAGGATTGCGTCGATTTTGGGGATGAACAATTGTGATTTTGTGTTTTTTATTGTTATTGTTATTCGTCTGCTTATTGTACGACAGTCAAGTGAAAGTTGTTTTTTTTAATTTGAATTATAAACTGATTGGACTATTTTTGTGTCTGTATTGGCTCAAAAAATCATATCAAATCAGTGTTAAATTAAATTTTAATTTCTCAAAGAAACTCAATTTTTTCGATTCTAATCTTGTTGGGATTGTTCTATTGCCTAATCTACTTCTTTCTCTTTCTCTGTCTACCTCTACTTCACATTTTAAAGTAATTAAAATTCCTAATAATTGAGACAAAGAAGCTCGATATAAGAAAGTGCTATAGAATTGTAGATAAGAATA